GCTGGGCAGGGGGTGGCTCTGAGCAGCCCCTGGCGACCCCGGCCTGTTCTGGCTTCAGCAGGAGGGTTGTGGGAGTTGGGGGCCAGGAGGGGGATCATCCTGCTGACAAAGTCAGGGTTTGGGGAGGCCAGCAGGGCTCCAGGAAGGGGGTGAATGGAGCAGGTGGGGGCTGCCCATCTGAGCTGGTGGCAGGGAGGTCGCCTCTGCACCTGAGAGCCTTCACCCCCCCCCCTCCAGCCTTGAGCCAGCTCCCCTTGCACCCTGCCTGGAATTAGAACCCGGGGGGGAGTGAGTGTGGTCTCCCTCATGGCAGGGAGCAGGGAGAGGCATCCGGAGCCACCTGCCCCCAGCTTCCCTCTCTCTCAGGATTTGTTCTGCATGCCTTCCCTCCTCGCTGAGGGATTCAGCTTGAATTTGACCTTAAGTCACTTCACTTTGAGTTCATCACCCAGGCTGGGCCCCTGGCTTCGGGGCTCGGAGCCTCAGTTCCTTCCTACCTCTGGCTGTTCCTGGAGGCCCTAATGAGGATGGAGAGCAGGGGCGCGAACGCGTAGCCCATGAGCCTCGGCAAGGGAGGGAGGCCTAGCTCCAGAGGAAGCCATCTTAGTTTGGGGATATTTTATTTTATTTTATTTTGTTGGTGAGAAAGAACAGAGTCCAGGAAAAGGGAAGGCAAGATGGCAGGCAAGGCTGCAAGTGGGCCTCCCTGGGCAACTACAGTCTCCGTGTTAGTGCTAAGAAGGTCTCAGGGCCCCTTCCCACCCTGACAGCCAGCGCTTTGTGGCGATTGGTACTGAAAGGGCGGTGAGGACTCTGCAGAGAAGAGGTTGTGCAGAACGCAGAAGCTCAGCATCACCCATCTACCCAAAAGGCTCCGAGCCCAGCGAGAGTGGGGTGGGCGTCTCCAGCCTCGCCTCCCCTCCCCACCCACAAGGGGACTGACTTGTTTAAGGATTTGCTTTGGATTTAAAGCAGAAGTGAAAGAAATGTTGGTTTCCAGAATGACATGTTTCTGTAACCCCTGGCCCCTGACCTACACATGTCTTAGGGGGTCCATGAAGCAGCCTTAACCCTTGATGCTTCTTAGGAGCAATTATGCAGAGCAGCCAGAGGGCTGGTGTGCCCGCCCCTCAGCGCTGCTGCGCACCCTCTAGCGGTGAAGCGAGTAATAACTAAAATGTTGATTCACAAAATGCCTTTTTTTTTTTCTTTCTTTTTTTTTTTTTTAAATAGTTTAGTTCCTGAGCTGGCTATGGGCCTAATGCAATGCTGAGTCCCCACTTGGATTATCTCCTTTAATACTCTCAACACTCTATGAAGTGGGGAGTATTATCTCCATTTCACAGATGAGAAAGTCAAGGCCCATGGAGGGGATCCCGGCACCCAACTTCATGACTTCATCCTGTCCTGTTCTTCACCCTGCCCCTCAGAGAGTACACATCAGAGTAAGGGGCAAGGTGGAGAAGCACTCACAGGAAACCATGAAGGGACGGGGGGTGGAGAGGCAGATGAGAGGCCTGGATTGGGTGACGGAGATCAGCTTGATGGAACCCGTGCCCTGTGCGTCACTGAGAGACAGCGTGTGTAGTGAGCCAGCACTTTCTGCTGGGAACTATTTTGAAGGGAACAGGAGCCCAGGAAGTAGATGGCATTATCCCCATTTACACATAGAAAACAGGCCAGAGGGGTTCCTCCGAGCCATGCCTGTCACCCGGTCAGAATGCTGTAGACACTTGGCTGTGGTTGCCATTTTTAAATCAAAGGCTGAACCAGCTCCTGCCTACAAAAAACTTTCACTCTGGGCAGATAATAGAAAGGTTAAACCAATCCCTTTTTCAAAAGAAAATGGTACATAGTGGGGCAAAAGCAGATTTACAGTTGTTCATATGGAAAATAATTCAAAAATAAACTTTCATATAGTCACAACTCTAAGCCCACTTTTGCCCCATCCTGTATTTAGGAATTATAAAGGAAGAAATGTTTCTCGCAGGAAGTTTGGGAACCATACCTTAGAAAAACCTTGTTGCTCATAAGATGAGCGTGGACAAATTAGTATTGAGTACTTGCTGCACGGAGGTCAGCTGAGAGGCCAGGCGCTGTGCTCAGCGGGTGACGTTAGTGATGGCCGCAGGAGCCGCTGTGGTGGGCGCTGCTGTGACTGCACAGATAGGGAAAGAGGCCGGGAGGCCCGCTGAGCTGGGAGTTCATCCTGGAGCTGATGTTTGCCCACACTCTTAGCCACTCCCCAGGGACTGTCCATCACTGCTGGCCTCTGTCGGGACCATTATTACAGAGGTCCAAGGGCTCAGGCGACATGCAGAGGGAAACCGCTCACCCCCTGGGGGGATCAGGCAGAACCACAATCCCTAAGCTCCAGTGGGGTTGAACCTGCAAAAGGCCCTACTTCTTTCCCTGCCTTTGGGAAACACTATATGGGAACCAGGTACTGGCTGGGAGCAAGAATTGCTGGTCGCCCTGGCAGGGGCAGGCCGGCTCTGTGTGCTGCCACCTAGTGGCTGAAAGAGTTGTTGACCAAGCAACCCTGGAGGCCCTAAGTGTCTGGGAGGGCCTGGCATTAAAGTGTACTCCCACGTTTTAATGAAAAATACATCCTTCCTTACTCAGCAGATAAGTCAGAAAACACCTCTTCTGGGGGTTGTGGACAAATACAACCTAGTCTTGTGTAAGGACGGTGCAGACTACCTCCCAGGTGCTGGTTAAGCATCCAGTGGTGGGTATGGGGTGAGGTGAAGGGACCCCAAACCACAGATCCCGCTCCCAGGGAGCTCACAGACCGTGGGGATGTGGCCTTTTCTTGGCCACACCATCTCCCACCTGGATGAGTGCAGTTGCCCCCTAGAGTCCCCTGCCCTGCTAGGAGCTGGGTGTACCCCTGAAAGAGCCCCCTGCCCCACCAGGAACTACAGACCAGTCAGCCACCTCCACCCTCTCCAGCCATTGCTCTCAGTCCCTCGGCCACTCCACACCCTCTCACCGCCGACTCTGCCTCCACCGTTTGTCTTACAGCAGCGCCCCGTCAGCAGGCCAGGGGGCCTCTGCAGCCACCTGGGGCCCAGGCACTCAGGAAGGACCAGGGCTCTCTTACTCAGCTTCGTCCTCCAGGACCTGGGCCCCTATCTGCTTGTCTGGTCACCTGCAGCCTAACTGCCTGTACCTTGTCTTCCCCGAGGAGCCAGCCCCCTGGGTGGAGGCTGTGCGCTCCTAGTTGTAGCCCCAGCAGCTGGCACATCCCCGTCAGCACTTCACAGTGTAGGAAGGTTAGACGGGCCACGGAGGTCCGCTGATGGGCCTTGTGAGTCCCTTGCTCTGAACCTGGGGTCTCGGGGCCCTGCCACACCCAAGTGTCCCACGATGTAGCAGGTGAGCTGCTGTAGAGCCTGGAGAGTAACAGGTTCCACGCCTGGGGGTGCAGTGGCTGGCTTCCCCCAGAACTCTGCTCAGCTGCCCTGCGCCCACCACTTTAGTGCAGAGTCTAGGAAGTGGCCTGTCCCGTGCAGTGGTCAGCTGGGAGGCTAGTCCAAGCTGGAGTGCAGCCTGTTCAAAGGCAGAGAGGGACCATGGGGAATTAGGGACCCTGCAAGTAGGTCACGAGGGCTGGGGTGCAGAGCAAAGCAGGGAGGGGCCTCCCTCTCCTTCCGTCCCCAAGAATTGGTGTGTGGAGAAGGGCCCGGCCGGGCTCCTTCAGAGCAGGGTTGGTCCAGGGCTTCCAAGCAGCGTCCCAAGTGTTGACACCCCTGTGTCAGCAAGGACAGCCCCCACCTGTCTGCCTCCCGGCCATGGCCGGGCCCATAGCCGAGCTTGCATAGCTGGTGTGGGTCTCGCAGCTGGGGCTGGACTGGGTCCGATCTGCCTCCGGAACCTCAGGCACTTGCCTCGCCTGTGTGCCTCTCCTTTATCTCTAAGCTGGGTCAGGAGCAGACCGATTCTCCTGATGCTCTCAGGGTGGTTTAATGAGCCCATTTGTGTGAGTGGCTGGTGCAGGGGTGTCCAGAGGAGGGCAGCAGGAAGCTGGGCCCGCACCAACCCCTCCCTGTACCCCACAGGCGCGGGCCCAGGCGGAGGCCCTCCGCATCAGTGATGTGCACTTCTCTGTCAAGCCAAGCGCCAGCGCCTCCTCGCCCAAGCTGCACTCCAGCGCAGCCGTGCACCGGCTCAAAAAGGACATCCGCCGCTGCCACCGCATGTCCCGCCGCCCCCACCCCCGCACAATCGCAAGGTGAAGCCTCGGGAGCCCAAGCGGAACCGCATCATCCTGAACCTGAAGGTCATCGACAAGGGCACAAGTGGAGCGGGCGCTGGGCAGGGCACTGGAAACCTGGCCCGCCCCAAAGTCCCCTCTCGGAACCGCGTCATCGGCAAGAGCAAGAAGTTCAGCGAGAGCATCCTGCGCACGCAGATCCGCCACATGAAGTTCGGCGCCTTCGCGCTGTACAACTCGCGGCCCCCGCTGCCTCCTATGATGCCCGCAGCTCCAGCTCCTCCGGCTGCCCCTCGCCAGCACCACAGTCCTCCTCTGACCCTGACGACTCACCCCCCAAACTGCTCCCCGAGACCATGAGCCCATCTGCCCCCGACTGGCAAGAGCCGGAGGTGCTCGACCTGTCCATCTCTCCCGAGTCAGCAGCCACCAGCAAGCGAGCACCTCCCAACGCCACTCCATCTGCCAGCCAGGAGCCTCCCCCCGCCCCCGAGCCCGCGGGCACCTCCTCTGAGCCGGAGGCTGGGGACTGGCGCCCTGAGATGTCACCCTGCTCCAATGTGGTCGTCACCGATGTCACCAGCAACCTCCTGACGGTCACTATCAAGGAGTTCTGCAACCCTGAGGATTTCGAGAAGGTGGCTGCGGGGGTAGCAGGCTCCGCTGGTGGGGGTGGCAGCAGTGGGGTGAGCAAGTGAGGGGGCTCCAGCAAGGAGGAGGCTTTGGGGGGCCCTCCTGCCAAAGGCCACACTCTTGCTCCCACCCCCACCCTCAGACACCCGCCTGTGCTTTGCTTGTATCCAGTGGCTCATTGTTAACCCTGGGATGGGTTGGGCAGTTGGAACCCCTTGCAGCCCAGTGGGGTCAGTCCTGGACCAGATTAGGGCTGGAGTGGGGCAGAGGCACTGGGAAGTCCTCTTGTCGTTGGCCCTCTCTCCCCATGCACAGTGGGGCCCACTGGGTGACTCCTGGGGAGCCCCAGAACCCGGGGTTCAGCTGCCTCCACATCCTGCCCTGTCTCCCCAGCTTGCTTCCAGCTCGCGCGCGCACAGCATCTGATCTCTCGGTGCTAACCGGGCAGCCGGGGGGCCCCTGAGGAGACCCCCTCCCAGCATGGGCACCATTCCTCTCCTTCCTCCAGGTGCCGGGGCCGGAGGGGCAGGGATGACAGAGCCCAGGCAGGTTGAGCCCAAAGAGGGTGGCAGTGCCCAGAGCATGGGTCTGCCCACTTCTGGAGGAGACAAGCGCTCCTTTAGGCCCCACCCACCTCTCTACTAACCCCCGTCTGGCAGGTGGGGGGAGCTGGCAGGACCTCACCTGCCACAGCCTCCCAGCATCGAAAGGCTCTTCAGTTCACGACCAAAGGTGCTACCAGAGCCTGCGCGGACACTTCCCGCCGTGCGTGTGCGCGTGCGTCTGCAGCCGCTTGCTGTGTGTGTTTCCGTGTGCAGCCGGCACGGGGTCCAGGCTTTCCAGGCGGCACTCTTGAGGGTTCCTCAGAATAGGGTCGTCGAAGGCCTGGACCTTCCCTTGCTGGCAGCGGGGCCTGTGGAGGCCGCCAGGCCTATCCTCCCGGCCTGGGGGTGCTGGGGGCGTGCATCCCCGTGCCCGTCTCCCGTGGGGTGGTCAGCCGGACCAGCCAGGCCTCTGTGGCTGCGCACAGGGCATGGTGGGGCCTGAAGTCGCGAAGGGAGACCCCGTCCGAGCGTCCCCTTGCTCCTGGGTGCTGTGGGGAAGGAGGAAGCCTGGAACTGTTCTCCGGGGTCTCCAGCTTCTCGCCCCCTCTCGTCTGCTTCTGGCCGCTGAGGCTTTCTCCCGGCGCAGCCTGCTCGAAGCAGCGGGAGCCTCCTGTGCCCTGGGCAGCTTTCTCTCCCTCTGCTGCCAGGGAGCGGAGGCATCCCTGCCAGTGGCAGAGACCAAAGCCCCAGCTTTAATCCAGACACTGGGAGGACAGGCAGGCCAAAGTGGGGGGCCAAGGAGGAGGCCTGTGTTCTTCAGAAGAGCGAGGGTTTGCAGGGCCAGGGGTCTGGTGCGTGGGGGGTCGGGGGCAGCCCTGGGCCATTGGCTGTCTCGGTTTGGCGTGAGTGGCACGCCCTGTGCCCTGCGTGAGCTCGGTGTGGCTCCCCGGTCTGTGCGGTGATGGTGTCAGCTCAGAGCATGATGGCAGACGGTAGGAGGAGGCAGAGGGATCCAATTAGGGAACAGGAAGTGTGGGAGGACTCTTTCTTCCAAGTCTCCCACCAGGGGCTGCAGCCAGGCCTCCGGCCCTCCCCACCCCAGGGTATAGAGCGAGGGCCCTCGGAGGGTTTGGGGGGCTGGCACTCCCGGACCCTCCCCACCTGCCCTTTGTGTTGGCTCTGTGGCTGTCCAAGTGCCAATTGGCTTCCCCCAAATAAGGGCTGGTTTTCTCCTCTGTCCTTGGAGGTGATCCCCCGACCCCTCACCCCGGGTGAGCGGCCACCTGGGTGTCAGTTACAGGTGTTTCCAGAGACCATAGAAATGTGTTTTCCTGAGAGTCTGTGTCATTCGTGACTTTTTGTAAAGAAGTTGTGTTTTCAGAGGTGATTTTATGACAGGAAAGTGAAAGAATTAGTTTTGCAAAAAACAAAAAAGAGGAAAAAAAAGAAATAGAAAAAAATATTGTGGGATTCCTATGGGGTTGGGGAGGGAGGGGAGAAGAGATATTTAAAGAAAAACTGGTAACGCAGTGATTGCACATTGAGGTGGCAATGTTAGGGCAGGAGTGGAGGGCTGCCGGGCTGGGGCGGCTGCCTGCCTTCACGGTGAGGCAGAGAGAGCCCGCCCCGCCCTGGCCCAGACCCATGCCTGTCCTCGCTCCAAGGAAAGGATGCTGGCTGGTTCCAAGGGAACTAGCCGGAAGCTGCAGGGCCACGCACATGGAGCTGAGATTTGGGGAGGTGGGGCAGGCAACAGGGCCCACCGTCGCGGGGACCCGTCGTTGGTGACTTTCTCCAGGAAGGCTGGTGAGTCAGTGCAGTTGGGTTTCTTGCTCTCCTCCGTTCCTTCCTTATTGGGCCATCTGGTCCCTCCCACCGCCACCCCATGGGGGACGTCTCCCTCCCCGTCACCCAAAGACCAGGACCTCCTGTGTTCCCCTGGCCATGGAGGGGGACCAGGCTTCAGGAAGACAGGAGCTGCGGACTTGGGGAGACTTAGGTGGTGACCCTAAGGGGTTGGGGGTTAGCATGGAGAGAAGGGCATGCCCACCCCTTCTCTTTCCACTGGTGGATGGTTGCCACCCAGACCCCTAGCCTTGCAGCCTCACCCCCCTGGGCATGTGCAGAGGCACGCAGGCACACTGCTCCGAGATGAGCAGCTCCCTGGTGGGCCTGAGTGGGCGGCGTCACGAGCAAACAGCCCTGCTGACCCCCCTCCCAGGGCGGCTGGGAGCAGGGCCCCACGCACCCACACACGCTTGCACGGATCAGCCTCCCATGGGCCCTTCCCCCTTGCTGCTTTTCCATTTGCCTAATTACCAAGCAGAAGTTGCAGTCTGGTTTGCTTTATTTTTACATGTGAAATACCCCCATAGCCGATCTCCCATGTTCAAGTATTGGTTGGGGCATCGGTCATGTCCCCTTAATGCCACCCCTTCCTACCCACATATCATAGGAAACAGGTGAGGTTTGGCGTCTCTGGTTTGAGATGGGAAGTTGGACCATCCCTGTGTTGTTCCCCTCTCTGACCCTCATTTGCCCATCTGTGAAATGGGTGTATGGGCAGCAAGGCCTCTTAGGAAAGCACTGCTGGTGTCCAGGCAGCGGCTGAGGATTAGGTAAGTGGTGGTTGCGGTTGCTGGCCCTGGGCCTCCAGCCTCCCACAGCCCCTTTTGTCCTCACCCTGCAGAAGGGTCAGGGTCACAATGAGTTCCATCCTTCCTCTGCCCTGGAGAGGTGATGATCAAGACCCCAGCCTCACTGAGGTGGGCAGGGTTGGAGGGATCACCCCATTTATGGAAACTGGGGCTCCGAGAGGCAGGGATGCTGCATGGGAGTGTTCTGGCCTTTGGCATTTTTAAAGCCCCTTTAAATCCTGGGCCCTGGAGCCAGGGGTCCTGGGTGAGGGGTCAGCCCAGAGTAGGAAGTGTTGGCTCGGGCCTGAGGGTGAGGCGAAGCCACTCCAGCCGTCCTGGCCTCTGGGCAGGTGAACACCAGCTCTCCCACCTGGGGCTTATGGGTTTGGTTTGATTTTGCACTTGGCCCACCTGGACAGTGGAGCCCCGCCTGTCAGCTCCACCCCCGATGCACTAGCCCAAGGCAGCCCTTGGGGGCTTGTATGGTTTAAGGAATCACTTTTTAAACAAAAGTGTTTAAAGGTTTTTGTTTTTCTATCTGCATCTCCTGTCAGATTCAGAAAGCCCAGAATCATGGCCTCAAACTACAGGAGAGGGTCTCCCAGCCTGACCTGACCCATCCTGCTGACAGACACCAAGAGGCCAAATGGGGCAGGCTGGGCGAAGCCACAGCCGTCCTGGCCTCTGGGCAGGTGAACACCAGCTCTCCCACCTGGGGCTTATGGGTTTGGTTTGATTTTGCACTTGGCCCCCCTGGACAGTGGAGCCCCGCCTGTCAGCTCCACCCCCCGATGCACTAGCCCAAGGCAGCCCTTGGGGGCTTGTATGGTTTAAGGAATCACTTTTTAAACAAAAGTGTTTAAAGGTTTTTGTTTTTCTATCTGCATCTCCTGTCAGATTCAGAAAGCCCAGAATCATGGCCTCAAACTACAGGAGAGGGTCTCCCAGCCTGACCTGACCCATCCTGCTGACAGACACCAAGAGGCCAAATGGGGCAGGCTGGGTGGGGACTGGGAACCCCTCCCAGGCCTCAGGTGTCCCCCTCCCCCCCAAGGAGTCAGCGCCTCACTCCAATAGTGAGTGAGCCCTACTGTGTGCAATGCTTCCGCCAGGCAAAGGGGGGCTGATGGTGTGACGGGGGACCCTTCACAAGAGGCCAGCATGGAAGGAACGGTTCTGGGGCCCGCCCCTACCTTGGCCAGAGTGGAGATGGAGACTTCTTTTTTGTTGGTTTTAATTTAAAAACAAAGGCCTAAAGAAATGTATCTTATAATTTTTTTAATTTTTGAAAAGCTCATTTAATGAACTGTGCACGGATGAATTCTATATATATAAAGTATACGTATATAGCTCTATATTTGGGGGGGCACTCTTTTCTCTTTCTCATTTTAAAAATGAAGTGTTGTTGCCTTTGTCTGTGGTTCAACCATCCAGCTCCCAGCTGGCTAAACTTTGCCTCCGGTGGTTAGAGAGGAGTCGGGGGAGTCGGCAGGCCCCGGGGGTGGGCACGCCCCCCCTGCATGAAGGGTCCTTGTCCACCTGCCCCAGAGGCTGCGGGGGGAGAAGACAGCCTGTTCCGGGTGTGGGTTTTGGTTCTGTTCTGGATTCGGTGGTCTGGGCCGGGGGAGGGGGGTTCGTGCCGATTACTCTCGTCTTGTACGTTTTGTTCTGCTGCTCTTTGATATTGTATCAATGCCAGGAAGGGGGCCGGGAAGCTTGCTCCCCAAATAAATTGTCACATTCCAACGCTGAGGTCTGGCCCTGGTGGGGTGTCTGTCTCATTTCTTCCTCTGTGACTGGTCTGTAGAGAGCATCGGCCTGCCTCCTGCTACAGCCGCCAGCACCCCCTCCCTCTGCCTCACAACCTGGAGGGGAGCTGAGCTGGTGGAGTGCCCATCACAGGTGAAACCGGTGCCTGCCACCTCCTGGAGCCTGGAGGATGCCAACTAGGCAGGCACGTGGGGGGTCCGCCACTGCCTGCTTCCCGCCCCGTCCCCCCCCCCCGCATTGGAACCGCATCACCCACAGGGGGCTGTGGGGCTGGGTCCCTGACGAGCTTATCACCCCAGAGCCCGAGAGAGCAGCCCACGTGGGGCATGGCTGCCGGTGCAGTGGCTCCACAGTTTGGCGCGATGTTTTGATAACGAGGTTGGGAGAAACATGTCTCCTGGCACTCGTGTGCCTCCTCTGATTGGACGAGCCCTCTTCCCTGCAGGAGCCTGTGGGCCTTACAAGCATCACTGGGCAACCCCTTCCTCAGGCCTGCGCTCTGCCCAGGACCTGTCCCTCTATCCACTCGCCAGGCCTCGATTGGGTGTCCTGTCCAGCCCCCCCCACCACCACCCTCCCCCTCATCCCGGCCTTTCCCATCTCTCTCCTCTCCCCGCAGGTCCAACCCGCCCTCCTTCCTCAGAACCTCCCGCTGCAAGGCTCCAGCTCTCAGCCTCTAGAGAACCCTCAGCCCTCAGGGTCCTGTGTCCCGCCCCCCCTCAGCCTGGCAGCCCGCTTCGGGTGCCAGCTCCCTCCCTGCCCCAGGCGTTCCCTCAGGTGCCCCTCCCTGTCCCCAGCTGCCAGCAGGACATGTGGGAGCCTGGCCCTGTCTGGTCCTAGACACAGGCCGCAGGACCCAGCAGGTAGATGGGAAGGTGGGCAAGGGGCTGGAGTCCAGCCGTGAAGTCAGGGCCGGCCCTCCTCTACGGCACCTGCCCCAGGTCACGCTCCTTGCCTCCCCCTTGTCATCTTGCCCAGGTTTGTCCTCCACAATCCTCATTCAGGGCTTCTTTACAATTCAAAACCAAAAACCATGAGTTGTCAGCGCACCGACCAAATGCAAAGCACTGGGTCTCTCCTCATCCCCTTTGATCCCCCTCATCCCCCACCAGTGCCCAGTGAGGCCTGGAGTGAGGAGCCGTGTCAGGAGGGCCACAGCGATCAGCTCACCTGCCCGAGGTGACTCGGTGGCACTCAGGTGGCCCCGAGGCTTCTCTCCCGGCCCCTCTGGCCCCAGACCCCCTGCTCTCTGGGCCTGAGCACATGGGGACGGCCTTTGTCGGGTGAGCGTGCCCTGAGGTTAGAGCCCCCTCGGTCCCTTAGCACAAGGCAGGCCGTTGCTTACTAAGCAGCTACATCTGTTACTAGTTGCGGGGAAAGAGGGTGACCAAGGCAGCTTCGTGATGGGGGTCGGAGGGTTTGTGAGGGGGGCCAGGCAAGATCCTGAGACTCAACTCAGCAAGCCTGACGCCACAACACCCCACTGAGGTGGGTCATGGGGTACATGCAGCTGCTGCTGGTGTCTCGGGGTCCATCTGTCCGGCCCCCACCCCTTGCCTCACCTATTCCTGGGTCTCACGGGTACAGGTGAGCTGTGGGGTGAAGCTCAGGAGGGGGCAGGTAAGGATCGGGTCGGGATGGGGTGAGAATGACAATTCTGCACACTTACTTGGTCGTTTTTTAGAAGCTGGAAATTCTGTCCTTGTCAAGTTGTGCCTGAAGTGCAGAGGGGGATCAGGGTGGTGCTGACCCCCTCAAGCCAGATCCCAAGGCAATGTGTCCATCCCGTACCCCATTCAGGCTGATGGCTTCCGAGCTCACACTGCAGAAAGGCCTGAGGGGAGGCTGGGGTGGGCGGGGGCTGCGTGGAGGAGGTTGAAGGGGGGATGGGGGACATCTGTAATACTGTCAACAATAAATTTAAGATATTTTTTTTACTTTAATGTTTTTTAAAAAGGCCTCTGGCCCTGACAGGCTGAGCTCCACAAGGACCCCGCTCACAGCAGTGGGGACATGAAGGCAGTGGCAGGTGCCCTGGCCTCCAGGCAGCCATGCACTCGGAGCCTCTGATCAGAGCAGGTGTGAGGGCGCTGACTTGAAGTCACTCTGGTGAGCTATTCGAGGCCTGGCTGAGGCAGAGGGGACAACCGGAGTGGCCAGAGCGAGGGAGGTTTGGAACATTGAGGGTTTGGTGGTTGGCTTCGCGTGCTGGTGAGAGGGGCCTCTAACAGCACCCTGGGGTCTGCTGTAGCCGGGGAGCCAGCATGGAGGAAGGTGAGCGGTTTGGGACACGTGGAGTGTGAGCCAGGCAGAGGGTCTGGGAAGGATTTTCACCCGTGGAATTGAGGCTCGGAACAAGTTCCCGTCACGCAGGCACTGCTGGAGACAGCTGTCCCTTTAAGGAAGACTCTGTCCCGGGTGCACCTCAGCTCTGAGAGGGCTGGTCACCACTGGGGACTTAGGTGCTTGGGTCCAGAGGCCACTGGGATACCCAGCCCCCCCCCACCTGCCCCCATCAGACAGAGGAGGCGGCAGGGCAGGGTGGGGGCAGTGGGCTTCCCAGGCCACTCGGAGGCAGGAGTGGAGCCCAGGTTCCAGGCACAGTGGATGTAACCTCCTGAAGAGCTACTGTATACGGGACACTGGGTAAAGTGTAACAGACCTCTCTTACTAGTAAACACCCACTGAGCCTCCAAGATAGTAAAGAAATCCCCA